TCCGGGTCTGCCGAGAGTACTGCGAGAGTCAAACTTTAGTTTTAAACACAGTTCTAGTGTTAGTTCTAAAAGATATTCTGGGATAAGAGTGGGAACTTAAATTAAGCATGTAGTATTTGAGATGGACATTCATTGAACCATTCAAGAGAGTTTTTACTTGTAAATCATAGAAGACTATGCCTCCTGTAGACTAAGTTCCTTTCCTTCCCACGCTTCTCAGTTCTTGTTCCAAGGACCATCCTTAACTTCCATACTCTTTATTCTGATATTCATCCATAGCGATAGTGATGTATCTTAAGCAGTCCATCTGACAAACTTGAATGTGTTGATGGGTGTTAGAGAAAGTCACAGTGGAAATGGAAATCATCTGATATCATCAAGATATCAGAGGTGATGTCCTAGCTGTGGAGATGAAAAGTTACCTTTGTAAGTAAAAAAGGGATGTTTTTACTACTTTAAGATAATAAATCCTTCTAAATTAATGAATAATTTGGGGATTGAAGAAACAGGAAAGTTGATTTTCCTTTTCTGGTCTTGAAGAGGAAAATGAAGATTCATTTAGTTGGAAAACCAGTTATGTTAGAATTTCCAAGGTTAGCTGCCTGAAAGGGTGTGTGTATATATAGATTTTATTGATAAAACAAACACCTTTATTCATGTTAAATAATCTTCACTCATAGAATGCTATAGTATGAATTGATAAAGAAAGATGTATGGGTGCTGAGATACAAAGATCTCTACTGTGATTTCCTTTGAGTTAAAACATGCATGTACTCACTGATACACTCACATAGTCCGACCTTTGTCAACCGGAATGGTTTGGAACAAGGAATCTTTATTAGTGGTTACTTCTGGGGGGTGAGACTGCAGGTTGTGGAAAAAGACTTTTCTGTGAACTAGGCCTTCATATTCTTTACTTTTTGTTGTTGGGTAGTTGCTATTTTTATTATTTTTTTTCATCCTCACCCGAGGACATTTTTCCATTTTTGTTCAGATAGAGTGGGAGGGGGAGAGAGAGAGAGAGAGAGAGCGAAAGAGAAAGAAACATTGACTGACGTGAAAGGGACACATCAAGTCACTGCCTCCTGCACAACCCCAGCTGGGGCCAGGGACAAACAGCAACCGAGGTACATGCCCTTAACGGGAACCGAACCCGGGTCTCTCTGGTCCGCGGGCCGATGCTCCAACTGCTGAGCCAAACCGGCCAGGGCTATTTTTATTCTTGATTTGTAAACATTATTTACAAATTGGTCAAGTTACAAAATCTGTAGGACAAGAATGGATTATTCAGTAAACGGTGCTAGTACAGTAGGCCATATATTTTAAAAAATGGAATTTGGATCTCTATACTTTCCCATATGCAAGAATTGTGGAAAATCCACATGGAAAAACAGATTTAAGCTATTAGAAAGTTATAGGCAGGTGGGTATCTGTATGACCTAGTAGCAGGGATACATTTGACTCCAGAAAAACTCTGACTTAACAAAAGGCATAAATGAAATTAAAAGACAAAAGAGGGGGGAGGGCAGCGTTGCATATAACCAATAAAAATTACAGCAGTTAAAATAAACAAACTGGACTCTTCCTACATATATCAACACAGATCAACCTTGAGGATGGTGTTTAGAGAAACAAAGCAAGTTTCAGAAGTATTTACATGATACACATATTATTCATGTAAAAAATTTAAAAACCCACATACCTAGAGTAGACATTTATGAACACAAGTGTGTGAGGTCAAGATTCAAAAGCAGCAGTGATCTACTCTGACATCAGCGTAGTAATTCCCTCTGAGGAGGGAAGGGTGTAGGGGGTCTGTCCTAAAACACATCTATATTTCTTTGTATTTTTATTTTATTTTTACTTTTTATCCTCATCCGAGGACATTTTTTGATATTTTGTTCAGGTAGAGTGGGAGGGAGAGAGAGAGAGAGAAACATCAACGTGAAAGGGACACATCGAGTGGCTGCCACCCGCACGACCAACCAGGGCCGGGGACAAACTGCAATCGAGGTACGTGCCCTTAGCGGGAACCGAACCCAGGTCTCTCTGGACTGCAGGCTGACTCTCTAACTGCTGAGCCAAACCTGCCAGGGCTATTTCATTGTATTTTTAAATCTGCACACAAGAATGGAAAAGCATTACCTAAATCTTGGTGTTGTAGACATGGTGTTCATTTGTCTCTGTCTTTTTTTTATTATATATGTTAAAAATACATTTTTGAATTCTTTCATGTGTCTTTTCACTGTGTACAGATAGTTGGTGCTTTACGCTGTTAATATAATGAATTTCCTAGTTTTGAATTTTGGTCATTTAAAAAATGTATTGCTGGATTCTGTTTGCTAATATTTTATTTAGGATTTTTATATTTATATTCATGATAATAGTCTAATTTTTTTCTCCTCTTTTGATGCTCCCTTGATCAGCTTGTGGTTTTAAGGTACACTGATTTCCTAAAAATAATTTGGAAGCTTTTATTCTTTTTCATGGACCAGTTTATGTATCATTGAATTGCACGTTTCTTGTAGTTTGGTAGAGTTCACATGAAACTGACTTGATCTCACACTTTCTCAGGGAGGTTAGTTTTTGGAAAGCTACACCTTTTGGTGTCTATATGGCTGATTAGATTGTCCCTGTCTTCTGGGATCAATATGGTGTTTAAATCTCCAGGAAAATCATCAGTGTTTTCAATTTACTGGACAAGATAATCTCTTAATGCTCTTTTCTTTTCTACTGTATCCGTGGTTGTTTTTCTGTTCTCATTGATTACTTAGTGTATTTGTGCTTTTTCTTTTTTTCTTTCTAGTTTAGGTTACCTGCTTGCTCAGTTACTTGAGCATTTCTTTTTAAAGCAACCAACTCTTCAATTTATTTTTATTAACTACTATTTTTCTAACTTAGTAGTTTTTATCTTTTTTCATTTCTTCTGCTTTTTCATTTTTGTAACTACTTGAGATTCCTTAATTTATTTTCATTATTATTTATTGATATTAGCAGCTAAATATTATAAATATTCTCTTGATCTGATGGGGTTCAGGACACATTATCCCAAAATATTCCTGCCTGACTGTCCGCTCTTCACCAAACCTAGCTTAAATATACACTGGTCTAACTTTCTTTTGGTCTCCTTTCCTTAGGAAGGCTCCGGTATCACGTAACATTTATGGATAAATACATTAAGTGAACTTTGCTCTTCCCCTGTTAATCTGTCTTTGCCAGTTTAATTTTCAGTCCCAACCAGGGACCCTAGAGGGTTGAGGAAAACTTTTTCCTTCCTTACCAGTCACTGATCACTGCTTTAGTTGTATCAGAGCTTCTGATATGTTACACTTTCATCGTTACTTTGTACTCATTCATTAATATTTGGTCTTAGTGCCTCTTTATGCCAGAATTCAGAACCTGTGATAGCACACACGTCTCCACGAAAGCATAGAAATGAGTAGACACGGTAACTTTTCCTGATGAAATGTTTGCTCAAAGAGATTGTGCCAAGGTAGAAAATGTCCGCAGTGCTGCCCCCCTGCCATGCGTTTGGCGATGACACGGTGATCACGACCGCACTTGCTGTGTTGGGCACCGGGGAGGGGTAAGGCCAGCCTCGAACTGCAGCCCTTCCCTTGCAGTCCTCCGCTCAGGGCTGGAAGCTCTCACGCGGGGCAGGTGTGTTTCCTGGAGCGGAGGGGCAGGTGCGTCCTCAAGTTCTGCCAGTTCTGTTTGCAAGTGACGCCCAGTTCAAGGGCACCATGCACACTGCCTTCGGATGCTGAGGTCAGAGGATCTGATCGACACTTGTAGTTACCCACAGGTGCTCCCTGACAGCTTCCTGTCTGGGAAGAACTGTTTTCATGATTATTGTATTATTGTTATATTTAACATGAATATATATGGTAAAGTATAATTATGGAAATATTTAAAATAATTTGTTAGTTTATACAAATGAACGCTAAAAAAATTGAAATGCTAAAATTAGTGAAAAACGTGATGAAACCTCCCCTTCAATCATATACTTATTTGATTTAAGGCAGTTGTTTATGTATTCAGTTGTGAAAGAAAATTAAAATGAGAGCTATTTATGCTAGTCTGGCATCACCTAATATTAGTCTAAAATTTCATAATATTGTTCAGTTTTCTTGCTTCCTTCGGCCACCCGCACATAATTAGGCCTATTGAAACCTTTGCACGCTCAACTCAGGGTGCCTTTTTAGACATTTTTAGAAAATATCAAAGTAGAAAACCGGACACTTCTTGCCTGAGTTTCCTCTGATCTGTGGGTGTGGTTCCATCATCGGAGGCCCGCAGAGCCCATGCTCACTCCCACGTCCCTCCCTGCAGATCAGGAGAGAAGCCCCCTCCCACACGCCCAGCGGGACTGCAGTGGAAGGCCTTCAGGACCCTCTGATGAGCGCATCCCCTTGGCGAACTGAGAGTGTTGGCACCCTCCCTTGCAGGCTGGACTGGAGTGGGCCGGGCACCCCACAGGGTGAGGCTGAGGGCGCGGGGTGGCAGGAGGCACTCCTCCTGCTTGGGCCGGACCTGGTGGCTATGGCATTGCAGGGCCCCAGGGCCCCAGGGCCAGAGCCTCCTCACGTCGTCTGCCCTGGGCCCTGGCTTGCCTTCCACCCTGTGCAGACCCCGCCTGTCCACTGTTTCTTCCTCTGCAGAGACAGTCCCTGTGAGCCTGCTTGTCCTGAGTAACCAAGAAGGCAGCACCTTGCCCATTAAAAGTCTTCAGATAACTCTGGTCCACCTTTGACCAGAGCTGGGTGAGAACCAGCTGTTGGTGTGGATGGCTGGAGAGCGGAGACTGGTGCTGCCCGTGCAGGATTCTGTATTCAGAGGTCAGGACGCTGCTGGGAGCGTGTTGCTAGATTTAATCCTCGGGGATCCTATTATGGGGGAGGTGGGGGACAGATGCAGTGAGCCCTGTTTTTCTGCAGGCATCATGGGGCTTCTCAGAATATTCAGTCCTGAGTGGGTGAGTGGGTGGTGGGCGGTGATGTTCCTGCTGCCCACTCTGGTCATTCCAAGGCCCGTGGAACTCGAGGGTTCTTAGGAATAGCAGAGGGGCTGTTGCAGGCGAAATGGATGCCATGTCCTCAGAGCTTTCCAGCGCTTACGTTAATATTTTCAGGTCAAGGACGGATTAACTTTTCCATCAAACCTGTTTGGTGAGTATGAAGAGTGATTTGGAAGGTCTTCTGCCGCCTTTGTAGGCCCACACTCGTCTCTTTTCACTCTTGTGTGAGAAAGGGGAGAGGATGATGATGAGGGAGCAGACTCTATGCCAGCCTTCTCTGTCTTCTCTGTCGCTCACCACCACACTGTCAGATTAGTTGCATTTTGAATTAGGTACAGGGTTGATTGTTCTGAATTTTTATTTAATCAAAATTTCCAGCCTTTTCCTTTATCCTTCTGGGTTTTATGAAATGCCTAGAGAGGTGTTCTCTGTGTGAAGATTATGAAAATACTCATCTATTTTTCTTCTAGTTTTTTCTTAAAAGGAATTGTTTTATACATTTTAATCTTCAAGTCAATAGGAATATTTTTTCCCATGACCTTTGAACATCTTCCAGGCCAAACTCTCACCTTTCCTCAGCGGGCCAGTGTGCCTCCCAGGGCCACGGGGACACTGTCAGCTCCGTGGTCCGGGTCGGGTCTCTTCGGTTCCTCCTCCCTCATGGAGTGTCTCTGCTCGGCTCCTGCTGTAAGACGTCCTCCTCGCTCTCCACCCTAAGCTTTGGGCACGCCATTCGGTTTTATTATTATTATTGTTTAAATGGGGGTCTTCTGACTCTTTAAAAATGAGTGTTTTTCAAAATTCTGTGTAGAGAGGAGCCATGTTCCTTGTTACCTTCGTATCACCCGGCCCAGCCATGGTGTTTCCACAGTGACATCCAGATGTTATCTCCAAAAGAACATGTTGCGAGACGGTCTCTGGCAGTCGGCCAAGCAGGTAGTCCTCCCGTAGCTGCGGCTTCGCGGCCCATGGTCTCTGTTACCTGCAGGCAACTGCGACTTGAAAATGTTAAAGGGAAAATTCTAGAAATAAACAACGAAGAACTTTTAGATTGCACACCATTTGGTGTGGCGTGATGAAATCTCCTGCTGTCCTGCTGCGCTGCGAGTCATCCCTCCGTCCAGTGTGTCCGCTCTGTTCGCAGGACCCGCCGTTCGTCACTTAGCTGGCTCAGTTATCAGGCACAGAGAGAGAGAAGCGGCCACATTCACAGGACTTTCAAAATAATAACTTACTCATTTTTCTTTATTGATTTTAGAGAGAGAGAGGAAGGGAGAGGAGGAGAGATAGAAACATCGATGAGAGAGAACATGGATTGGCTGCCTCCTGCACGCCCCCCACTGGGGACTGGGTCCACAACCTGGGCACGTGCCCTGCCCGGGAATCGAACCAGCAACCTCTTGGTGCACCGGTCAACGCTCAACCGCTGAGCCACACTGGCTGGGCCACGTGACTTTTATTAAGGTATATTATTATAGTTATTCTGTTTTATTATTAGTTGTTATGTTAATCTCTTACTGTGCCTAACTTATAAATTAAACTTTATTATAGGTATGATGTATTGGAAAAAAATATAGTGTATATAGGGATGGTACTATCCATGGTTTCAGGAATCCACTGGGGATCTTGGAATGTATTCCCTGCGGATAAGGGGACAACTGTATATCTAAAGATACTTTATATCTTATGAAGAACATGAAGGATGTACTTGTTAAGCATTTAGTCAGGCAGAGTAGTGACTTAGTGACTTACCCTAAGGTGTCCATGAAGGATCAGTGGAACCTGGAAAGGGATTTTTTTGGGCTTGTCTTAAGATTTTGATAATAGCTCCAAGTTCAGTCTTTTTTATAACTATCCTAGAGGAAAATGAATGTTTATCAGACCTGCAGATAGGAGAAAGCTGGGCAAGATAAAGTATATGACAGTCAGTATCCTAATGTATTGAAGACTTGGTTGAAGTAATGAACCAAATGGAATTTAATGTAACAACGTAAGGCCTTGCATTAGAATCTCAAAGTTTATTATATAAGAACAGTATTGCCTGGTGGAAATTCCAGGGGATAGGACTGAAAAGTTCAATTGATAATTTGGGCTCAACATAAGTAAACAGTGTGACTGATTTCTGAAAATGATAAAGGGGCTCTTATATGATCAGAAGAATAAATCCTGATTTTCCTGTGATATTATACCTAGATTATATTTACAGTGGGTTTCGGGATATCAGTCACCTGGAGCTCATTCAAGCTAAGGGCTTAGAGGATGGGGAGAAGGTGCGTGCTTAGCCTGAAGAAGAGTATTTGGGGGGCGGGGAGGTGTCTCACAACTGGGTGATCGTATAATTTATTGTCCACCCAGGACTCTGAGGGTGAGAGAGAGCACTGTTAATACTTATGCTGGGTTGCTGGGCGTGAACTAAGGCTGTCCTGGGCAAAGGGGAACATGTGGTCACCTACTGCAGTAATCTTCAAGTGTTTGAAGGTCTGTTGTGTGAAAGAAAGCTTAGAGCTCATCTGTGGGAGCGAGGGAACCAGGGACACACCCGCAAGAGGACAGGTGTCTTTTCCCTTGTGAGCCACGATCTGTTCCTGCGTCTGTTGAAGGTGCAGTGCGGCCTTGCAAGGCGGTGTGCTTCCCGTCACTGCTGGTGCAAGAGTCTGTGTAGCTGCCTTTTCTGAGTCTTGATAATATACAGGTTAGATGAACCCATTTGTACCAGTCCGTCAGATGTTCGTGTACTGTGCAGATGTCACTTTCTCATTCCAGTTAGCTTAACCATTTGTTACTCCCGGCCCCATGCCTTTCGCAGGGAAGGGTGCCCTCCAGGCGTTTGGGGGCGTTTATGGCAGACCCAGCTCTGCATGACTTGGATCTTCTGTGGCAGCAGCAGCACCTGTCCGTTCTGTAGGGGGCACGGCCCCTCCTCTCATTCCCGGGGTGCAGGGCTGGGGTGCAGGGCGGCCAGCCCTTTGTCTCTGGCCCTTTCTTCACTTTCAGCGCCTGCCCTTCTCTTGCCTGGGGGAGTCTCCCTCCGGCCGCAGCCCTGCTGCTGGTGTCCGGTTCACGGTAACACCCATCTAGCCCGAAGTACCTTTCTTTTTCTTTTTATGTCTGTGAGTCTTTTCTTTTTATATATGTAAATAAAGCATGTCTCTTTTCATCTTTATGGCAGAGCAATCCCTTAAACTTCAAGGGATACAAACTCCGGGTCTGTTCATTTCTTGCCGTGGGACCTGGGTCATTGCTTGGCTTCACAGGGCACTGGCACACGCATGATTCTGTGACGCCTTGTTGAGTCCTTTACAGCAGCTCTAAGAGGCAGATGTGACTGTTCCCATTTTCTAAATGTGGTTTAGAAAGGTGACCTAGCCGCAGGTGTCTGAGCGGGACCAGACCCAGGTGTCTTCATTTGTCTATGTGTTTGTTAATTCATTCGTTCCACCAGTGTCCGAGTGTCTGGATTGTGTGATGCATCGTTACAGATTCACGACCAGTCACCTTCCCCTCCCGGAAGGTGCACACTCTAGTCACATTGGGCACCTTTCCTGTGTGATCAGTAAGACAGACCCGCCTCTGTCACCGTGCTGTGTGGATCTGGATGAGCACACAGACACAGAGCAGTTTGTCTTAAGCATCGTGGGTATTAAGAAGAGAAGTCCAGAGTGTAAGTGCAGTGTGCTTTGTGGCCTGTTACTTACTCTGGGAGTCGGGAACGCTTTCCAGGGGGCTGAGGAAGTGACATGTAAATGGAAACCTGAAGGATGATAATAGTTAGAAAGGGGGTGGGGTGGGACCACTTTGGGGGATAGAAGAGAGAGCATGTGCAGGGTCTCTGAGCAGGAGCAGCTTGGTCCCTTCAGGTTCAGAGGGAAGTGTGTGTGTGTGTGTATGTGTGTGTGTGTGTGAGAGAGAGAGAGAGAGAGAGAGAAGGAGGGAGAGAGAGGAGGTGACTTGACACAAGACGAGAATTAGCAGGGGCTAGATCAAGGTCTTGGTTGTTTATCCCGAGAGCAAGATTTTTTTCTTTTCTTTTGATGTTATTTATTTTTGAATAGGTAAAACTATCACATAACTTGATTTTTGAGAGATAACAAAGGGTATTTGTCTCCTTCCTACCTCTGTCTTCTCTCCTCCAGTTTCTTTCTCTGGAGACATCTGTACTTCCATTTCCCGTTTACCCGCCCATAAGTATTCTGTGCACATACAGGAATACGCATAGCTGTTTATTTTTGTCACCCCTTTTTATACAAATAGTAAAATATTATATGGACTGCACTACATACCTTACTTTTTCCAGTTAACATATGTTGGATGTCATTCCATGGCAGTGTCGAAAGAGCTATTTCATTATTATTTTTTATGACTGCATAGTATTCCATTGCAGATGTGCGCTCTAGTTTCTCTAACCAGTCTGTGGGAAGTGGAAACAGATGGGGGCAATATTGTAGAGGTGGGAGAGGACTGGTACACCTTCTCACTAGTTGGGCAGGGGCGATGTGCACTTGGTTCAGAAGTGGAGAAGGATGAAGTGTCTATATGTAAAAGAGACTCGACACTAGGCAACAAGAGGATCTGTTGATTGGTGGGACATTAGGGGTGAAACAGAGGGATGACTTTTAGCCTTTCAGGCTTGAGCAGTTGAGTAGGTGATGATGTCATTGAGCAAGTGGTTAACACTAAAGGAAGGACCTGTTGAGTTCAAGGCATTTGAGAAACATGCAGGTGGAGATGAGGAGTGGTCGTTTGACTGCGGGAGTGTAGTCTCAGGAGAGAGGGTTAGTCTTGAGATATAAATTTGGGCGATGTTAGTGTAGAAGAATGCACATTTACAACAGGGTGATTGAACTTTGGGGAACGGTTGAATCATCCCAGTCAGCGACCTGGTCAAAACGTTGATGTGGTGGGAAATGCTTTAAAAAGTCATGTCCTTAGTCTTTGAGAAAGTGACATACAAGTCTATAGGTTGTTATGAAAGCCTACTGAATGAGTTTGTAGAGATAATTACAATTTGTTGTTTGTTAACAACAATTAGCACATTGGTAGAGTTTTTTGAGGAATTTAATTCAGCATTTTGCCAAGAAGTTGGCTGCCACACAACTATGCGAAGCTTACTTATGACCAAAGCCTAACAGATGGCTGGGCTTCCACAGTGTT